AGGATCACACTAGGAACTTCTCTCTTAGAACTTATCTCAAAGCCTGGCAGCAGGATTGCCAGCAGGTGCAGTGGGACCCTGATCTAGGTGACTGGACATCAGAATTGCTATGGATAGGCCCCAGAAAACAACATCCAGAAGGGTTCCAGATGAACCTTACCCACAGAAATATCCAAGCCTTCTCAGAGGTACTGAAAGCTGCCTAAGTGCAGGTTACTCACTCTTCATGGCCCTCATTCCCCTGGATCCCCCACTTAATGGCAAAGAGGGCCTAAGAGCAGAGGCCCATCCCTCACCCACTAAGATCAGCAGGCTGAATGAATACAACCCTATTCTACTCATCTCCTTTTCTGCTTATGTTTTTTTCCTCACTCACTTGTAGCCCCTTAATTATGCCCTGGCCCTTCCAAGTTGCCACACCAGAGGGAAGAGGATGCATTACAAACTGGAAAGTTTGATGACTAAATTCTTCCTCCTCCCCACCCAACACAGTCCTACTTATTTTTCCTTTTTGAAGCTACAGTGTAAACTCAGGCTTTCTGATGACTAAACTAAAAACCACTGCAGTATTTTAGGAACCCAAGAAATTGAATTGCTTTACAGTAGGAATGCTGGCTTATAGCAGTTTATAGCTTTTAAAAAAATGTTTCACTCTTGAGTTAGAAAGATACTCAAGGGGCTGGGAAGGTGGCTCAGTGGTTAAAGCGCTTGCCTTGCATGCCTGAGGCCCTGGGTTCGATTCCTCAGCACCACATAAGCAAAAACAAAAAAGCCGGAAGTGGCACTGTGGCTCAAGTGGTAGGGCGCTAGCCTTCAGCTGAAGAGCTGAGGGACAGTGCCCAGGCCCAGAGTTCAGGCCCCATGACCGGACCCAAAAAAAAAAAGAAAGATACTCAAGTCTTCTCTGGCTGAATTGTTAAGAATTAACAGGATCTGTGCCACACTGGTGACATGAAACTATAAGGAACTTGGTGAAAAAGAGAGAGAGAGAGAGAGAGAAATCTCCAAATGAAAGTCACATGTGAGGTATACACCATCTTATACTTAGAAAAACTGCAGAGTATTTAGATAACACATCATTCTGGGAAACATCATGAACTATAAAACAAAAACTGAAAGAATACTTAATCTGCAATGGTTCCTCAACGAGGCTGTGTGTTCTCACATCAGCCTAACAAGGCCAAGCACCTCTTAAATTCAATGAAAAACTTAAAGCCATTGAATTTTATACAATTGTTTCAGAAATAAATTCTACAGTACAATCTTTTACCGAGACTAGAGGCCATGATTTCTTTTTAGAGGCTGATATCATATGAAGTTGTAAGTCAAGTGACTTGCTTGTTAGTGAAAGTTTATTTAGAATTACTTGTTATGCACACTTAACTGTATCACTCCATGTCAGAAACTTCCTCTCTGGAAACCCATACAATAACCCTTAGGAAACAGAGGCTAAAACCTGTAATTTTCTAGATCAGAACAATTTATTATTCTTAAGCAATTCTTCTCTGCAAACACATAACACTAAGAATGGTACAGTAATTTCCCAGCATATTTTGTTCAGGCTCACTGACTGAAACTTGAAGTAGTTTCTTCCTATCAATTATCTAGTGAAAGCACCACAGAAATATATAATGTCCTGACTACACCTATCTGAAAAAGAAAAAAATAAGACTGCTAAACAAATCCATCACTACCCATTGTAAATAGACTTTCACAAGTTTGCATTTTGCAATAATTTTAGGTTTATAGAGGAGTTGCAAAACAGCACAAAGACTTCAAGCACCCTCTTCACATAGCTTCCCCAGTGCTACCAATGACCTTATATAACCAGAGCAGAATTTCCAAAACTAAGAAGTTAAAACTGGTGCAATGCTTTTAATTCAACTACAGACTGTATTCAAATTCTGGCAGTTTTCCCACTAATGTCCTTGAAAGATTATTTTGAAAAAGAAGTTTCTGTAGAGGACTTCAAATTCACAAGCTATGGCAAGGTTTAATCTATTCAAAACACTTCACTTGGAAAAAATTTTAAAAGGCCAATTCTGTATTTGTTTCTACAAACTATAGCTTAACAAAACTTAACACATCAATCCCACAGAGACACAATATTAAGCATTTCACTGTACAAGGCTTAGTATAATTTGTCTTTTTAAGAAATGGGGTCAAAGAGGAATAACTTGTCAACTCTGACTTCTTACCAAAAAGAGAGTTTATGCAAAATTGAAACAATTCAACTTTTTTCCTCACATTTTCTGGTGCTACTCTTAACTATCTCTCAAAGGTGAGGAGACAGTTAACTTCTGTTATTTTGCCTAGCAAATCAATATATGGTGAGGCTAGAAACGATTTTCAAACAAAATATTTAGCTAATAAAGTCCTCACAGGCCAAAAGAAAAGTCTTAGTGACTTTCTCTTTTAATGAGTTTAGCATTCTTTCTGGTGTCTGATAGCCAAAGGAGGGTAGGTCATCTCCAGAAATGACTAATTAGCAATCTTAATTCCAAACTCATTCAAAAGGAGGCAGAAGACCACTGTAGAAGAGAAGCAGCAAAGTGATCTTCAATATAAATCTCACATGAAAAACCACCATTATAAAAAGTTCATAGTTTAGTCCATTAGGTGGTCTGAAGAGAAAAAACACATGGAAAACACAAGGCAAGCCTAACATGGTGTCTTGTGTCTGCATGGTGCTAGGGAAGTACCTCAGAGTTTTGAGAACCCTAGACAAGAGGTCTCAATAATCTCAGTTCTCCCTCACTTTTATACCAGACAATTCACATACAACCTGAATGTTTGTAAATGATCAATACTAGTAATTTATTCAACTAATAGAGAGTGCCTGTTAGGGCTAAGGCGCTATAGTAAGTGTTTTGTGGGGAACAAAGAAAGAAAATGACTTAGCCCTCAAAGAGCTTCCAATCTAGCTTCTATAAAATTTATTTACATACCAGCCAACTGTTGCAATTTCTCAAGTAATCATAAAAAGAAACATGTCATTGTCACCTAAAGCATCAAAATGAATTTTCCCAACTTGAAAAAAAATAAACACAAAAAAACTTTTGCAAGGTTTCAAGCACGAATCTGTAGTTCCTAAAAGGCAAAGTGGGTGAATGGAGGAATTAATTGAATCCTAGCTGATCCTTACACACATGACATCTGCCACATTCAAATTTTAAAATTTTTTAACTTTTCAAAGACATCACTTGGATACAATGTTCTTTTACCCACTAACATAACAGATAGCTCTGGCTTTCCAAATTAAAAAAAAAAGTTGTTCCCATGAATGGTACATATAACTCAAACAAATACAAAGACATATTTCCTCGAAAAGAAAACTTGGGGTGAAGTTTAGTAAAATGCCTATTCTAGTTGGTTAGTTATTTATCTCAACCTAACGAAGGCATAAGTCCGTGGTACTGCTAAGACTGAAATATTTTCTAGTGATGCAGTCATGGTTTAATTAGTTATATACATGTTTATCCTCATTTCCTTACACACCATTTAAAAATCTATGTCAGAACGTTAACTTCAAACAAGACACTAGCAGGGATGTTAGCGATTTTAATAAAGAAAAAACTTCACCCAAACTCAAAATTGACTTCTAATACTAATGAGTTACAAGGCTACCAAACTGGCAAGTGCTACTCCATTATTCACTAATAAGTGGGGCCAAAATTGGCATCGAATTTATACCAGACAACTGTGCATTATGTTAACTTCTGCAGCAAGTGCAATTATCAGACATCAAGGAAATATTAAGCTTGAAGAAAGTTAATTCTCCACACAATTTGACAATTTGAATTTCTTTCAAAGCACAGAGCAATCGGCTCTCTCCCAGCCCCAGTGTCTCCAACTGTGGTCAAAGTTCCCTGAGCTAGGCAGCACACAAGATACAACTCTCACAGAGCAAGAAAGTAAAAACTGATGTTACCACGCACAAAGAACCAAACATATGTATATACGCAATTAATGTTGACCAAAAGGGACCTTTGTCAAATAAAACAAGACTGTAAATCCCAGCTTGCTCTAAATAACCACTGGACACTATTTTGTGTGTCAAGTTTAAGGATAGTGAGCTTTTTAAGAAAAAAGAAAATTCACTTCCATCACTCCTTAATGAAACTAATAAACAGGAAAATGAACATGTGTGAATGTTGCCAGGGTCTGCCATCCACCCACGTGTGCCATGCAAGCAAGCACAAGCACACACACACACACACACAGGAGCTTCTAAAGGAAAGTCCTGGGACATCTTCCTGGCCCAACCGCACCCCCAGCTCCTATCAACTCAAGCCCCTTTCTCCACAAGGTGCATCTCTGCACTGGCAACACAGACTGGGCGGGTGGGCTTGCGCTCCCTCATCGCAGCCCATCCTCCTCCTTGCACCCAGGAACCCCTCCCACGGATCAGAGTAAACAAGCTGCCGCTGGCCTTGGCATTCTTAGGGGACCCAGGGAGGGCAGGGGCACAGAGGATGGGGGTGGGGGTGAAGACGGGGAAACGTAGCGGAGGAGACTCCCGCAGGGACCCACCCAGAACGCCCGTCTGGGCTTTCCCGGGAATCCGCACGGCCGCCGGCCGCGCAAGGAAGGCAGTACTCCGGGAACCCGCCGCTGCCGCCGGAGCCGGCGCCAGGTCCCGCGATCGCCAAGGCCGAGCCCCCGCAGCCGCCGGGAGACCGCTGCTCCGGGTCGAAGGGGACCGCGCGGCGCCCACGCCCGGCGGCTGCAGCTGGGAACTTCAGGCAAAGTTTTCCGCTGTTGCTTTCGCCGCCGGGAAGCGGGCCAGGAGCGACCGCGCCACCCGAAGCACGAGCTCAGGCCGCGAAGAGACGGGGACTGGACGGAGGGCGTCCAGGCTCGAGGACTGGCTGGCGCTCGGGTGCGTGCGTTGCGCCGGCCGGGGTGCACGGTTCCAGCCTTCCTTTTAACTCGCTACTTGGTGCCCGCCTCAGACTCTCCCGCCCGGGAGCTGCCGGCGTCCCGGGCTGTCCACTTACCTGAAAACGTCTCCCCCGCCACAGTTAGGAAAAGTCCGGCCAAAGTCGCCCAGCAAGTCCCAAGTCTCGTCATGGTGCGGAGTGCGCGCCGGGCCGCGCCGGGCAGCGGAGGGGGACGCGGGTCTGGGCTTCAGGCAGCCACGCGCCGAGCCAAACCCCCAGAGTGCCAACAGTTGCAAAAGTCTGAACTCGGGCGGCCTCCGGGGCACGAGGACGGCGTCCGCGGTCCTCCAGTCCCGCCCGGGGCTCCACTCGGTGCCTGGCGCTGCTGCGAGAGGGAGCAGAGGGCGCGCCCGGCCAGCCAGAATCCTTCCTGGGTTCCGGCGGCGCCACCCGCCGCCGCTCGCTTCCTCCGCTCGGGACCGAGCCGCCGGCGCACGGCCGTGACGGTGGTGGCCG